TAGGCATACTCCATCAATAACAATGAAAACCACTATTGTATATACTGCTTGATTTAACTTGAATTTAGAGCACATGTGTCAAAGTCAAGGCCCGGGGGCCAAATCAGGCCCTTGGTGGATTTAATTTCGGCCCGCAGGATAATTTTTAATTACTATTAGATCTGGCCCGCCGGTATATTGCACACACACCTTCACTCCATCCTGAGGGTCTCCTCAGCTCAGAGCCTGACCCCAAACATTGATGAACTTGCACCCAAGATGAGATGCCAAGTATCTGAACTAGCATCACAGAGCAGCACACTGAGTTTAATGGATGTTTCCTTCTGCACTTTCTCTCTCACGACAACAGGGCATGTTTGGTTTTCTCTTTGAGGGAAATAGTTTTGTTGAAGCTGTTGTTGGCCTGTGGGAAAATGTAATCATAAGAAATGACTCTGGAAAAGCTGCAGATAGAGCCATAAGAAATGAATGCAACTGATTATTTCATGTTTAATGTTGTTTTTATCGGCAATCATTTAAGCTTTGTTAGTTCCAGGTTTAATTTCAATAAGTTCTGCAATAAACATTGAACCAGTCCGGCCCTCGACTAGTATCAATTTTTTTATTTTGGCCCACTGTGTATTTGAGTTTGACACCCCTGATTTAGAGCAATTGTTATTCAATAGTTGAACAATTATTCTTGCTGTTTTTGTATATGATTTTTGATAATTATTTAGTGGATTTTTTTAAAGTCATTAGAGCAGTTGTTTACGCTTTTATTTCGAAGGGGCAGTTTCAGGCCGGTGACAAATGAGTATATTAGTTTTTGATCATTAAACCTAAGAAAATAAACACACAAATTAAATGATTGTGTGGAAAATGGACTTCCTGCTTTCGATTTGCCACCTGGCGTTCGTTTTTAGTTTTAGGTTTGAGGACAAATAGCCTCTAGAAGGCCTTAAGACTGATTTTACGTCGACAAAAAACCCCACAGAGGCAGAGATGTAAGGGTTTGGAGGAAGTGCATAAATCCCAGGATTATGAATGATACAGTCTAAAGTCTTCACAAGTCCGGCGGCAAGTGTTGACTCCCTCTGCCCTGAAGCTAAACAACCTCTCACATCTCTGCTACATGCAACCCCTGCTCTCCTGTCTTTCTCTTTTCTTAAAGCTTCACTGGCTCCACTTACTTTTAATGAGGACACACACACACACACACACACACACACACACACACACACACACACACACACACACACACACACACACACACACACACACACACACACA